ATATATTCTAAAAGCAAGCAATTCTTGATCGATTGATCGAACAGTACTTTTCTCGTCTCCATGGATACATCCCAGCTTGAACTCCCTTGGGGGTTGMACTGTTCTGTTTATAGTCCGAAGCGATCCGAAGCATTGTAGTTTAAAATTTGAGAATTCGTAAAAAATTAAAGGCTTGTAATGGAGAGAAAGCGTCGTTTTTGTGGTCATTGTGATGAGTATGTTACTCAACGAACTTTTAGACATCATTTTTCACTGTATTATGATGAAAAAAGAGGAGGATGGCAGCGTGAACGTTCAAACCAGTGTTCATCCGACGATGAATCTAGCGATGATGTCGAAGCCACACGGAGTAAAAAGAACCTGCCACGTTGTGATTCATCATCTGATCTCCCGAATAATGATCAAGAATACACTGGAGGTTTGTGAGAAATGCAATAATAGCTAATAACTAGAGGAAATCGTCTTACTTGAATGCATTTGACCGCATTTACTTTAAGCTTTATTAAGCTTAAATTCCTGCAATAAAAGTCATTCATACTCTATTTTGCGAGCAGAGGATTTTTCAATCCCCTTCTGCGAAGATAGTGAAAAACATTCCTCTGCTTACAGGGTAATCATCATACTCTGAATCTTAAACCAAAATTCCTTAGAACAGTGATTGCTTATTTCAAGATCCATACTGGAAAATATAAGGATGTTGATTTATAACCAGAAACTTGAAACCACACATCTAAAACTTTTAATGATCTTCAAAAAAATATTTTAGTGTCCAGATAATTCAAATGAAAATCTACTGTACCTGCATCTTATAATGAACATTTATCAAGCTAGTTTTTACTTTATAGAACAAACCATTTATTTCTATATTTATGAATCAAGGCAGCTTCTCTTACTTATCATACTGTAGGATCAAGCTGTTCCTAAGTATATAAGCTCCTATGTCATTCTTAAAACAAGAAGTTGTTTTACATTTGTTATTAAGGACTATTGGTTTAAGAGTGTGTTTAATTAATTATAGTTAGCTTTATAACAATTCTAATTTTTAAAATATGATGATTTCTTTCTTTCCTGTAGGAGCCTTGACAGATGATCTTGAAGATGACAATATAGAATTAACAGATGGTCATCAAAATGATGATGAATGGATGTACATGGAAAGACCTCTTTTTGAATCAATTCCTGAAGTATGGAGTTTAGACGAAGATGAATTAAATCGTGATTTCACTACCATGGGACATGACCATGACCGTTCATTGTATCACGATGTTAGAGAAGATCATTCTATGCAAATTATCAAATGGATGATGATTTTCCTGTGCATGTGGTCATCATACTGCTGCATTTCAGATAATGCCATGGAAATTCTTATTTCCTTTATTGGAGCAGTTTTCTCTTCCCTTGGTTCACTCTTCCCAGCATTGGCTAGTGTTGCTCTCTTATTTCCAAAATCATTCAACTTACTGAAACAGAAGCTGGGTCTAACCAAAGATCAATTTGTTAAGTTTGTTGTATGTCCAAAATGTGAGACTCTTTATGAATTTGATGACTGTTATGAAGAAAGGCTTGGTCAAACTGTTATTAAAACATGTCAATATGTTAATCATGGTAATCACAGACAAGTCTTTCGACGAACTGTATGTAATGAGCTCCTCTTGAAAGAAGTTATACTGAAGAATGGAAGGAAACGATTGTACCCTTTTAAGGTGTTTTGTTACAACAGTGTTATTGATAGTCTAAAGAAATTACTTTCAAAGGCAAATTTTATTTCCAATTGTGAACAATGGAGAAATCGAAATGTGCCTCAAGGATTCCTGGCTGACATTTTTGATGGGAAAGTCTGGAGTGATTTTTTATATGTAGATGGTCAACCATTCTTAGCAGCTCGACATAATTATGCATTCATGTTAAATGTTGATTGGTTCCAGCCTTTTAAACACTCACTTTACAGTGTTGCAGCTTTATACATGGTTTTTATGAACCTGCCAAGAGAGTTGAGATTCAAGCCTGAAAATATCATATTAGTAGGAGTGATACCTGGCCCACATGAACCCATGCTTAGTATCAATACTTATTTGAAGCCACTTGTTGCAGAACTGAACACTCTTTGGCAAGGTATACAATTTAAAACAGTTGCTAGTAATGGCATTTTGACAATTCGTGCAGCACTTTTATGTGTTGGCTGTGATGTCCCTGCAGCAAGAAAAGTCTGTGGATTTACAGGACATTCTTCATGTAAAGGTTGTTCTAAGTGTAAGAAAGCTTTTACCGGCAATGTTTCCGATCGCATGGATTATTCTGGTTTTGATCCCTGTAATTCAAGAACTAACAAGGAACACCGTCAGCAAGCACAAGATATCTTGAATCAAACAACAGCTACAGACAAAGCTGCTAAAGAGAAAGAACATGGCACTAGATTTACTGAATTAATGATGTTACCATATTTTGATTGTGTTAGGTTTCACATCATTGATCCTATGCACAACCTTTTTACTGGGACAGCCAAACACATGATGAAAAATGTATGGCTTGATGAGTCTTCCCAAGTAATAGACAGAAAGAAACTTGAGAAAATCCAGAAAAAAATTGATCAACGTTCCATCAAGTGTTGGTCGTTTGCCAAAAAAAATTGCAAATAGCTATGGGGGGTTCACTGCTGACCAGTGGAAGGCCTGGACTATTATCTATTCCATATTTGCACTCTGGGATATTCTACCAGAAAATGACTTAGAGGTATGGCGTCGTTTTGTTTTGGGGTGTAGCATTCTGTGCACCCCAATAATAACTCAGACAAAGGCTAGGCTGGGACATGAACATCTAATGTCATTTTGTAAAGGATTTGAAAAACTGTATGGCTGTGCTAAAGTTACACCTAACATGCATTTACATACACACATTTTGGAATGCATATTAGACTTTGGACCTGTATATTCCTTCTGGCTTTTCAGTTTTGAGCGCTACAATGGGTTATTAGGAGAGTATTCAACAAACCAGAGATCCATAGAAATCCAGATCATGAGGAAATTTTTGACTGAACAGTTTGTTTTAACAAAAAACACTACCACTTCCGACACTTTACAGTGAGGTTTTTCTCCCTATTATGAACAGAATGAAATCCAGCACAATAGGAACTGTGAACACAGCTATAACTTGTAAGAGCACATCAAATCTAATCATTCAACAAAGCCTTCTGTCTATTGGACCTGTAAGGAAAGGACTTAACTGGACAGTTTCAGATAAGATTACCAATTTTCTAACATGTTTACCACCCATATATAGAACTGCTATTCCTGTGAACTCTCTTCCCCATTTGAAAGAATCATACAAGTCATTTCTAATTGGTGTTAATGAGTCATCTGTGACTGTTTGTTGTGAAATACTTTCAAGTGTTAGTGTTGCTGGTGAAATGTTTGGCTCCATCAATTCAAGGCACTGTAGATCAGCATATGTTTTGGCATCTTGGTGTGGTTTGAATGGAAGAATTGACTCTTCTGGTTTGAATCTTCGACCAGGCATCATTGAACACTTTATCAGACAAAATGTTGAAGTTAATGGTCGGTATGAAACTTGTATATTAGCTGCAGTTAAATGGTACAAGCAACACCATAGACGAAACTTTCTAGGTGCACCAGTACAAGTGTGGTGCAAAAACCATTTTGAGGTTGAAGGCCCTGCTTATTTCTTGCCATTACAAAGAATTCATTCAAAGTTTGTACCGGCATATGAGATGATTGGCAATGAAAATGTATTGGTTGTATGTCCTCTTCCCCGCAAGATGCAGTGCTGATTATATCTATATATTCATAATATTAATTCTTTTTATATACAGTATTCATTGTTATATATTAAATAACAGACTGTTTTAAGAAACTGTAGAACATATTATTATAACCTTGAATCTTGTTTCAGTTGTACCAATCTTAAGTTCTCTACATAACCATGACTGGTTATATCAAGAGCTCTGAGCATAAATACCATTGTTTGATCCCTTTTACAATGTTAACCTCCAATGTCAAGGATATGTATTTTGTTTGGATATTTATGAGACATATCTGCAAGTGTTCTCTCAAATCTGAACATTAATACAATTTACTTATTTTTTTCATTCACAATAAAGATATGTATGTTTATATATAGCTGATCTGAGTGTCTGATATAACATTACTGACCAAATATTGCAGTTGTTATCGAAAAACTCTCAGCAAATATACATCAGGATTAAGTAGTTATAAGGAAAATAGTTGAAAATAGTTGTGCAAGTTTTCATTCAGCTGAAAGTTCAGTGTATATATACAAGAATGAGCTGTTTTTCAGACTGTATAGTGGTTTTCAACTATAGCAAAATGACCCCTTTATTATGATGACTTGAAAATACATGACTTCTATTAATCCACAAAGAGACATTATTTTTGAGCTCAGAATACTGCATTTACCAAAAGTCCTTTTCTCTGACATCTCAGCAAATATACATCAAAACTAAGTAGTTTCAACTTAAAAGGCATCTGCTACTCCGTACTGTCCAGTGGATATAATAAGAAATGCTCACTGATGATTGTCTCTGCCCTGTTTCTATTATTTATAAAAAGCATTCCATGACGAAGCACTAAAAACCACAAGTAGATAAGATAAAAATTACATTTCCCAAGCCAGTTCTGGGTTTAAGACATAAGAAGCTATAGTTATGTCGATTTATCTTATTAATCTTTTTACAAGAGGTGTTGCAAACGTGTGCGAATCAGTACACAAAACGCGTCAACAAGAAGCTCTTGAGTTTTGGTGGTTTTATTATCATTTGGATTATTCCCTATCTGTAGTTTTGATGTTCATAGAGGTAAATTTAAAAATGAGCTTCATTTTAGGCGCGCTCACATTCCTGAATGAATATTACATGTAAATTCCCTTGGATTTAAAACTGACGTGAACTATTATGTTCGCACCATAATAATCTTTTTCAAGATTGGTCTTATATTACATGTAATAGTCTAAAAGGTTTCACGTCGAAGACACCTATACAGGTTTATTTTTTGTCTATAATACTAAAATACGCCATATATCGTGGTCTTTTACTTAATCTTTTGTTAGGAATGCGTGCGCATGCGTGCACAGTGGACGGAGCGAAAAACATTAAGTGTCCCA